TCAGCCATGAAAATGAATGCATGTAATTGTTACAACATGTACAAGATAGAAAATAGTGAAGTAGATGTCAAAACACAACAGGTGGATTCCAGAATACAATGACTATAATCAACCAAAGTTAAACAGTCAGAAAGTCCTGGAGGAAGCATATATTCATCCTTGGAATCCAGTGGAGCTGTGGGGAATATAGCATAATTGAGACATAAAGTTCACTTATCCCAGTTCCACTGTTGATGCCTCACTCAGCTCCGGGTGAATCGACTGTCTTTGACCCTGGTACTTCTGCTCAATAGGATCAGGTAATGGACGAGTACCTCACCATAGAGGACGCAGCAACTGGATAGGCACACAGCACCTTGATAGGCACACAGCAACTGGATAGGCACACAGCAACTGGATAGGCACACAGCACCTTGATAGGCACACAGCAACTGAATAGGCACACAGCAACTGGATAGGCACACAGCACCTGCTCCCACGAGTAACTCACAGTACTGTCCCTGAGTTACACACATGCTCTGGCACTGGATGATGTTTGGGTTATATTGTACCCCATCTTGAGGAGGACAGTCTTCTCAATTGGTAGTTGGGTGACAATAAGTATGTGATGGGTTAATTGACTGCTGGGTTATAGTTGGTGGGTGTTGGTTGGACTGTGAATCTTCTGCCAGCTCCTCACAAAGGACTCATCCCAAGCATATGTAAAAACTGAGACATTCCAGATCGCCTTGAAAGATGAAATAATACAGGCATAGATTGACACGTCTGGACGCTCGGAAGCTGGCAAAGAGAATAGCGTCACTTAGACACTTCAGGCGTTGGTGCAAAAAGAAGTCCCTAGTATACATGAGCAAGGAGTAAATCGGTTTCCACGAAACCTCAAATAACTCCCTTAATATATATTGAAGATATATATATTTAAAAGTGGAGTTTAGTTAAAGTAACCAGAAAAGGTAGACATAATAATGTTGTCCAATAAAGGCTTATATATATAGATATAAGGGACTATATATTTCTGGGCGAGTCCAAGTTTGAATTTTGTGCAGATTACAGGTAAGTCAGGTTATCAGCCTTACAGACCGATGCGTAATGGCTATCATTTCACGACACGAACCTACATTGTGTAACGACATCGACAGGCTGGGAAAGATAGGCAGGAGGGGGTTATCGGGAGGGGTCATTAGCCCGTCTAGCCACTCACTGTTGAAAGAAATTTAGACATCTAAAACACGTTTTTCTTTTAAACTGTGTGTACCAAGTGCAGCTACTGTTAAGTCGTAACTGGCGCCTAATAAAGTGCTCAAAGTAAAGGCGGCCTAAGCAATTTTGACCACATCACCCACTAAGTGTCGATTGTAATCGAGAACTAATAATAGTAATATATCTTTGCTAAAGCCACACATAACGTAGTGTTCTTTTCAGGCGTGTTCGCGCCAGCACGGTTTTACTACAAACTGCATGAACTAAAGCAGTATTATAACGTACAGGAATGTTATAATTAACATCACTTAACTGTTAAAGTAATGCATGCAATGAATTTTCCACAATTCTAACTGAAAGATCATTAAAGAGAGTAGTAAGGTGCGCTCTGCTGTAAATAAAGTCAATGGCGCTTTACATTCAAATGGTAGATCGGGCATATGATGCCGGACTTTTATTTTGCAGACTAAGACTCGATAGATCATGTGGTCAAAATTGTACAGGCAGCGTTTACTTCTCAGAACATTTCCTGTTTCCCACTGTAGGTCGGGCTGACTTGGTAGCCGAGGCCAACACTGGAGAAAAGAATGAAGTCAATGCTGTGGGGAGGGCGCGGGTGTCTGCTTTTACTCGGCATTTGGCAAAGTCTAACACCTGTCCGATAAACCAACCATAAGCTTGTCCCCCTGGTCGTGAAGAAACGTCTAATATGCTTCCGCAGCTACAATCAAAAAATCTAGCAATACCTGTTGCATAGTCACCATATCGTCTTATATTGTCTGAGAGTCCTATAAAGTACAGTGAGGAAAGATCAAGGCCTTCAGTCATGAACCAGGTCAGGCCTACCTTTGGAGATTGTATAGGAAGTAATGGGTCGAAACAATCGTTGACGAAGGATCTTTCTACTGATGATCGGTAGACCCGTGCTGTGCATGTTACCCTGTGGAGTTGTTCCTATTATTGGACTGAGAACATAAACCGGCAGGAGAACAATCGAGCCTCCAACCTTAAAGTTAAGGGGATTCCCAGTACTAAGAATAAATACCACTAAGACGATGTGATGACATGTTGCTTAGCGTCACTGCAGATGCATTTTTCTAGACTAGCTCTCAGAGGATGCAGAGTTAGGATTAGGGTCTATTGTGGCTCTGTGTTAGACCCAGAAAAAAACAGACCGGAAACCCTTGAGGCTGTAGAGATATTAAATATAACAAATAAACATGTATTATCGGCACTCATAAAGAAGCAGAAGGATAAAAGGACAGATCCGAAGCAGAAAGATAAAAGGACAGAGCCACTTGGCATGAGTTGGTTGAGGACGTCCACAACTAAAAATACTAGCTTGGGGGATGCAGGAGGGAAAGAGGAAGATACTAACAAAGAAACAATAGTAAAATCACAATCATTTGTTAACTCTAGAATCAGGTGTAATTCACTGTTGTGCTTGTATTTAGAGGAATGGGAAGGCGGAGAAGTAGAGAGACATAGCGACATTCCAGTCACCGTATGTTATAATATCGAATAAAGGATACGAAAGGTGAGAATATTACACAATCATATTTAAAACTGTCAGCCTCTCCGCTAATGTCATCAAGTTTTTGGTCATCGTCTTGTATGTGTCAACTATTTGCTTTCACGTTTTGTTCTTTTGTCATGTCTATATGTATTTACAGTACTGCTAATGACATGATCAGTCTAGATGGCTAGAGCTTGTTGCAGGCGTCAGTCAGTCATTACCTCCAGATAAACACGCCGGCAACGATCAATGCAGCCGTTACAACAAAGGCCACCACTGGTCCCACTATCGCAGCTACAGGGGGAGACTCATCTGGTTCGTTTACGGATAGTGCTGCGGAAAACAGAAATAATATCTCATTATTGAATATTTCTAAAGATATTTTCAAATCTACAATATCGTGTTATTTTTGTTTAAACTTGATGTCTACAATTACAACTACAATACTTTTAGGACATGATACGTCTAATTTTAGTGGGTTTTATCATCATCCAATAAATCTATGACACCCTCACTGGCAAGTATACGGAAATGCCTCAGTATCTATAAAGAGGCCACGAAATGTGTTTTTTTTTAAACCACGGAACAGTCAAACACCCGGTAACCATTTAATAAGTTTATAGTCAGAGAGGGTCCGTTACACTTCTTTGTTCTTCAAGACCCAATCATTAATCTATACAGCCAAATAGTATTAAGTGTGAGCAACAGTTTTTTTTTTTTTTTTAAACTTTTGATCTTGTATCAGAGATGAGACAAAGTTAGTCCCATAGTCAGCATAATGTTGAACATAGAGGTGTCATGATTCATGCTATTGAACGGGTGTCTGCGAATGCTCATTTGGTAGCTGATCTCTAGTTCTCCACCAGAGATTTCACATCGTCGGTTGTTACGGTGATTTACCACACAAACTCGGAGTTGTTCTTTTAATGGTGAAAGCCCAAGCTCTACGTCAACCTCCAAGTTTTCGTGGAATCCACATAACGACCTGCAGTGTTTCCGAGGCTCACCCAAAAAGACGGCAAACATTTATGTTGCTATTTACGCATGCAGTTTTTGTCCACACAGTTCGCATTTTAATATTTCATGTTTCTTTTTTGAATGTGCTCTCCGTATGTTAGAATGCATTGAACACTGTGTTGCAACACGATGTCCGGTAACTGTTGCTTTAACTTAAATCTTTATGAGTGTAGTGTATGGCTTATTTACCCTTTAGACATAAGTATTGAGGTTCTGAAATACGGATCAACCTCATTTCACATGGAGTAACCCATAAGTGCTAGTTTTTCTTCTAACTCAATTCTGAGTCCGAAGAAGCTCAGCACAGCGCACAGGTTCTGTAGCACCAGCGAGGATCCTGAAATACTTGGGTAGATCTCCGAATTATTTCTGGCAGAGCCGTTAGGTTACTCGTTTTGATTACCAACTGCCAAAGGGATTTTTATTACGTGCGCAACAATGCACATGGGCGTCCGATCTCACTACCCAGAGATCAGGAGGAATTACTAGAAGTCCATGTCCACCTGAAAAAATTTCAGCTCTTATCGGGGATTGAACCTCGAGACCACCCAGCTCATCTTTCTTTTTCAGCATTTATATTGTTTTAATGTATTGAAGGTGTCGCTGGTTCTTAGATTTATTTAGTCTTGAATAGTTATTTATGTTATTGGTTCCTTATGTCAATGTCAGTGGAGGCAAGTATATGGTATTCAGTGTGTAGAGGCAGGTATATGGTATTAAGTGTGTAGAGGTAGGTATATGGTATTAAGTGTGTAGAGGCAGGTATATGGTATTCAGTGTGTAGAGGCAGGTATATGGTATTCAGTGTGTAGAGGCAGGTATAGAGCAACAGAAGATTTGTGTGTGTGACTTTGCTAGTCCTAAAACCAAAGAGCAGTATCTGTTGGTTATTGTAACTCCGGTCTCGCCCTGAAAAAGCGAAACAACAAGACACTAATCTGACTGTAACCTCCCCCGAGTAATGAAAGTATTCTTTTATAAATGGGGAGCATAGATCGTCTCAACATACAACGTTAACAATCCAATTTAATCAGTATTTTGGCAACCAATTAAATTAAAAAAAAATTGCTCCACCAAAATGTGAATTGGATAATGTGGTGATGGACAGTTTGGGTGCCAACATGTCAAAGAAGATATCAGATCACATTTCTTTATTGTGCCGCTGTCTGGCATGACAGAAAACTCACAGGCTACACGTTCACACGGTAATATATGTAGTCTGGGCAGACACACAACACACAAACCTCAAAATGTATGGTATACTTACTATGATTACAGTAATCACCACCCGACCCCTGCTCACACGATGCACATTGTCCAGTAACTGGGTCACACAACTGGCTAGAGCAGTTTGTACTGCACGTCTCTCTACAGCCTTCACCAAACGTTGTGTCAGGACATGCTGTAAAACAGCAGATTGACTGATTATTATACAGAACATGGAAAAATGTTATGTTTATGGATAACACATAGATAACAATTTTACAACCAGTGGTATATACCTGCTGGGGTAGGATTCTGTCCTACAACTAGACACGTCCAGCGGGTTGCGAATGGTGGAGTGACCTCTAGATATAGATGCCAGCCGGGAATATATTAAGTAAGCGTCCCTGGATCAACACACTTCGATAAGAAACGGGACAGTTTATGGACAGCTAGCTCTATGAAATAACTCAGAGCTCTGTGACGTAGCCATTGATTGTAAGAGGCACCGTTAGAACCTGTCCCTCCTGTAGCTCTTGAGGGTAGATCTGATTAGACAAAGGCTATTAGAGTCAAACCGGCGGAATACAAGGGGATACCACCACTGTAATTTCTTTAGTAAATCATGTCTTGAAACAAACTGTATTCATACAACAGTAGTGGTAGAATGTTAGAGAAAGGGCCTGAGTTTGAATAATGGGAAGACAGAAACAACGGTAATACCAATAGAAGGAAAAATGGCTAAATCTTTAAAAAAAAAAAAAAAAACATCAGAATTGTTTTTAGGACAAGTGTAGAAATGTACTTGTCGGCGTCTGTTGCATAGGCGTTGCAAACGTGCTTCGTAATGTCGGGGTGCCGGGTTCGATCCCATCTACGGACAATTTGTCTTGCGCTAGTTTCGACAATCGTACCGAGAGCTGACCCTACAGAAAGCAATGGCAAACTGAACGTAACGTAGAAAAAGCACGACATCCAAAATATTCTTGGGTTGGTTCTGCAACGTCCTGTAAAGGACACGCAACTAACTGATTAACAGAAATGTAACTACCCACACACACGGATAATATCCGCTGGAAGATGTATCACAGAGATAAGGAACTCATCTAACCTGATAAAACTGCTTTTTAAAAAATGAATATTATGCTATAAAGTCATTTCAATTGAGATCAGAAAAAGAATTCTTGCATGTTAAATTTGGTCAGTTTCAAAATATCGTTTAAACTTGGTTTTGCAGACGACCGGTGTCTAATATACCACCAAGAGCAGACCATTTTGACTCCTTACATCAATCCTGCAAAAAGTATGATATAACAATAACTATCGCGAAAACTTAGGTAATGAGGATTGGCAGGAAATATAATAAATTGAACGTTCGTGATAACGGAACCATAATCAAGCAAGTACAAGAATTCAAATATTTAAGAAGCATATTTAAGAAGAATATCAGACTCGATAGAGAGTTAGAAGCTAGAGTCATCTACCAGTCAGCCCCAGTGCTTAGACACCCAAATGTCTCCCTTCCAGCAAAACAATAAATAATTAAAAGCATCTTTATCCCCACTGTATGTTATCCGTGCCAAACAGGGACAAGGAATAGGGCACAAGAACAGAAAATAACTACATGTAAAATGCACGGTCTCCACAAGGTCACTGGCAACACAAGAAGAGACGAATACCAGCATTAGATTGGAAGTCCGAATAAGATCATGTCTGGATTATATTGACAGACAAAAAATGAAATGGTTCAGCCATCTATTGATAATGCAGACTGACACTTTTTTACAGCAGAATATCTGGGAGGAAGACAAGGAAGACAAGAAAGAGATGGATAAATGGTGTAGCAGAAACCTGCCAAAAGATGTAAAAATCCATCACCCAAGCCACCCGAAAAGCGCAAGACAAATACAGAAAACCACAACTAAGGGCTACAACCTGGTATCAGTGAAACAACAAAAGAAGAAGAAGACAAAATATGACTGTAAATCCTTTGGCAATTTGAAAAACAAGCCCACCTATGTAATTAGGGCGCGGAAATGCGGTTTTACAGAAGAATTCTTAGAGTTCTCTAGGCGGCCAAAAAGAGCAACCTATATGTTTCTATAAAGAGGGAGCTCGAAGGCAACTTATCACGAACATCAGAAAGAGAGTAATTATTAGTTGTCACTCAACCATTGATTTCTGAAAGAAACAGCGCCCATATACCTTGCAAATGATTTCCTAATTTGGTATACTGGGCTGTTTGAATAAGTTCACAAAGCTTGACTCATTAAGTATTTTTAACAGCACAATATAGTTTCTGACAAGTTATTCAACCATACAAGCAAGTTATTGATTATTATTATTATTATTATTATTATTATTAATATTATTATTACTATTATTTGTATTATTATTACTGAGTAATTAATTATTAAGCATCTTCCACCCGTCCACCTCTCCCACTGCCTCACATTGGTGGTCAGTGAAAACATACTAAACATGTTAACTACAAATTAAATGTTTACCTTCGTCGCAGAATAACCCAGCTCTTCCAACCATACACGACTGACAGCTTCCATTTGTGGCATTGCAGAGTCTACCAACACAGTTTGAGCTACATGACAGAACACAGTTTTCACCGTAATATGTAGCACTGCAAGCTGTCGATTTAGAAATGTTAGATTATTTATTGTGAACGTCACATTTTAATCTGTGACAAGTAATACAAAGATATGCACAGTTATATACATTCAATGAAACCAGCTAGTCTCCTCGTCTCATGATAGATATTCAACAAATATTTTTTGAGAATCGTCCTATGTGGGACACAATTTTTCGTTATTTGAAGCCTCGCCCTGGCTTTTGCAGGGAAGTCTGAATATTGCCGAGCCAAACATTTGACGAAACGGCTAAAAAGGGATTTCTGGGACCTCTCCACGGGGAATCCTCATCCGCGTGGTGGTACTTTGTGTCACCGGGTGTTTATCGTCTTGTTTGATGTCCTAGTTGGGTGCAACTTAATACATGCATCATCATCATCATCATGTAGCAGGTCCTTTGCAGAACGTCGCTCTCATCACAGTGTGCCTGAAAAAAAAACTTGGTCTCTAGCCAGTTCTACAGCCACACGTACTTTCATACATGCATACAAATATTTATAATGAACCCGATAACCGCCCACACTGAACTATAGATTACTTCATCACTGTTTTATGTGCCCTAGCGTTTGTTCTTCATCCATCACAAGTGATGAAGATCACTCTGTCTTTCATCCTTCATGAAACCCTAGTTGATTGTGAATCCAGAGGTGACTTAGATGCCCGACAGGATCTAAGGTAATGAGGACAGAAAACAGTGTCTGTAGATAGTTAGTTATACAGGTCTTTCAAGCTTGTTTTCACTGTTTAGTTGCCCTTCTCTAGATGCCTATGCCTCGCAAGGCGTTGTGTCTCTTCGAACATATGTCGGATAGATAGTCTGGCCTTATGCAGCGCCTGAAGTTATACTTACTTGGCACGGGAGCTACTATGGTCAACAAACAGCTTGTCAGCTGTTAAGAGCTATACTAAAGGTTGTGAGTGATGTGCTGTTTTCTTGACCTTGGAGCATTTTATTCTAACCAACACGAGTGAGTCTACCTATTTCTATCTCACTGAAACAGATTATATTTACAAAAATCTTTGTTGCGCCCTAGTATGTGTGTATATATATATATATATATATATATATATATATATATATATATATATATATATATACATGCATACATGCATACACACGAGACATGTATACACAGGTGTACCTAAGAAATAGTAATAATTCATGTTATGTGGGTATATAAGGCTACGATAATTGCTTACACAACTGGTTCCCAAACCTATTTTTGGCCCACTGTTCTTTTTTTTTTTCATATAAAATCGTAACCTGCACAGTCTGTGGCGTTAGCACTAGCCATGCACAGAACTCCCGTATACCTACACTGCAGAAGTTGTAAGTACGGGCAGTAATATAGTTTTGGTTTTAATTGCCCTCTTGATAATGAAAAATTTCTCAGTTCCACCAATAAAAAGAAAAATTAAGGAGCAAATTGGTTTTTCAATGAATTTATCATGTGTTTCTTACAAAACATCATTGATACATTGATATACGTAAAACTAAAATCAGAAGCGGCTGAATTTATATAATGTCGTAAAGGATCGGTGTAAACAAAAGAATGTAAGATAAAAGAAGTTGACAAGTGCTTACGATTTTGACATTCCTCCCCACGGTAGCCTGCAGCACAGCCTGAAGGACATCCTCCAGTACTGACGAAACAGTTTTCTCCAGCCTTGGCACAGTTACATCTGTTCTCACATTCTTTTCCGTATTGTCCCAAAGGACACACCGTATCTGTTGGGGATATTATGTTACGTGATGCAGCAGATATATGCAAGCAGTGCACGCCCTATATGTATTACATTTACCAGTCACTAGACAGTTAAATATTGGTTGGTGCGTATATTGTAGATATGTTGACGATATAGTTTTAAACGTTCAAAATGATAAACAGCTGCAAGAAATAGATATAATTGTCACATAAAGTTCAGGTAAGGTATTTAGTTTAAGCAGATAAAAAAGCATAAAGAATGTTAATTAATGGTTCTGCAACGTCCTGTATAGGATACGCCATAAACTTTTGTAACCCTAATAACCGTAGATGTAGGATCTACTGAAGAAGATGAAAGTAGAATGGCTGAAGCAAATGCAGCATTTCCCAAAATGAAGAATATTCTATGCAATCTTTCTCTGCCACTTAAGAGAAGAAAAGGAATTCTAAAAAGCTTTATCAATCCTAGACCGATATAGGGAAATGAATTATTAGAAGTTGCCCGATTAGGGAATAAATTATGTGGAAACGGTGGAGATGTGGTTTTTGCAGACAAATAACGAGAACAAATTGGACAGATAGAACGAGTGATGAAGGCATCTCGAAGAAATGGGTTCTTTCAGAGAACTGACAACAGATAACAGACAGACGTAATCTACATATCATAAAAAAGGAGAAAACTAAAATACATGGTGATGGTGGAAAAGTTGGAGGAGATCAGACGTAGAGAGATAATCAAAACAATGTTTTCCCATAATGATTTAAAAAAATGCGGAAACAAACAATACATTGCACAATTTATTGCTAGGCACATTTCGCTGTATCTCATCAGGTGCCTTACTGCAGAGTTACATCAACAAAAAATAAAGCATATAACTGAAGAAAAAAAAAATAAAAAACTGGGTACGCAGGAGTTCATGGAAATGAAAGAGCTGACTATTTGGCAAGTAAGGCAATAATGCAAACAGTAAGAAGTATGGACAGAGCTGAAATCGTCAACGCTGTACGGACTAGGTTGGGAGATAATGGCGAATCTCTGACGCTAACGCGACCGCGTGACAGAAGAGTTCAGCTTGGTAAAGCACGTATATGTCGTCTTCGAGGTAAAGACACTATAACCAACTCCTCATAGGAACAATCAGTAAAGGTAACTTGGTGTGGCTGCTGCATCAGAGGACTGAGCACGCATGAGGATGCCCAATGTACAAAGGCGTGGATTGTGATAACAAAACAAACATATTACGTACATACATACATAGGCCTACACACACACACACACACACACACACGCGCGCGCGCGCGCACGCGTATATATAAACACTTAGAAGACTATGTGTCCCATACAGCAAGACACAAAACATTTTAACTTCTGAGAACTTGAGTCCTACGACAAATCGTGGTAATCTCCAAATATGCAAACAGCAGACAATATGGTGTGAGAAGCAACAGAGAAATTCGTATGGATTAGTTTCTGTTTAAATGGCCGCTGATTCCTGGCATCATGAGCATAAACAGACTGCGATGAGTAGAAGATACCTAGAGAACTGCAAACAGTATATATATATATATATACAGAGAGAGAGAGAGAGAGAGAGAGAGAGAGAGAGAGAGAGAGAGAGAGTAGAGAGAGAGAGAGAGAGAGAGAGAGAGAGAGAGAGAGAGAGAGAGAGAGAGAGAGAGAGAGAGAGAGATGGGATAGGGAAAATATACAAAAAAAGTACTTGGAGTCGACAAGTGGAAAGAGATGTCCAAGGACTTGAAGAATAGAGTCTAATGATGTCTGCAGCATTGAACCTGAAGGGCTCGGAGTGTTGAAGAAAAAAAAATAGGGATGAAATGTTCAATCGCCATTATCGTGAAAAATGATCCTTTACTTTGAACATGTGGGATAAAAGTATCTTTTACTTTCCAACAGTGAGGGCAAACTATACTAATGAATAACACGCTTTTAAATAGTAATATACAGATGCGAGTTGCAGGGATAAGAATTCACATCTGGGTTTCTAACTTGTTTTTGAGAGATAAAGATAACAAAGACAATTGATTCTTACCACCAAACATCTCCACCTCACACAGCGTCAAGTAGGTTTCGTTTATTGTCGTTCCTGTGGCAATAATTATAACACTTGATACCGGTATCTGTGGAGCAGTAGACTGGATTCTGTAAATTCTTTGATTGATTGTAGTGTGGTCGATGTAGATAAATGCCACGTTACCGTTCTCCTGATCAGCTTCCAGAATAAATCTACGGAGTCTTTCTTGATTAGCTAAAAAAAAAATAACTTTTGATTTTCTTCTTACATAAAACACATTCGGCATTCAGTTCCCATGCAATTCCCTACCACCAGTTTCAGGCAAGTTGAAACAAATATGTTATGAACGGGAATCGGACACATAATATCTGGACTGCAGTAAACACATCTATCTATCTATCTATCTATCTATCTATCTATCTATCTATCTATCTATCTATCTATCTATCTATCTATCTATCTATCTATCTATCTATCTATCTATCTATCT